ACGCTCTGTATATGTGCTATATCTAATAATTACTGTATATTAATATTTGCTTATGCGATCTAATTTAAATGAAATATAGACGATCCTTTTTTAGATTGTGACAGTAATGAATTATCTTAGATTTAAATATGTTTTTAACAATATAAATATTTAGATTAATTTAATATAATATATATAATTACAATGTACAGTAATAATTTATATTATTAAAAAAACATATTTAAATCTAAGATAATTCTTTACGTATAGATAATTATTAAAAATGACTGATATTACTAAAGTTATTTGTCAAGAACCAACAATTATTGAAAAACTTGAATTAAAATATCCAACAATTAAAAAATTATTTGATGCAAAACCTAAACAAACATTAGATAAATTAAAGTCTGCTGGATCATTATATACTAAGGTTTTTAAACAAACTTTAGTTGTTAATCATAGTTCAAATGATGATAACATTAAAGCTTGGAATGATTATTTATCTGCTATTGAAAGTTATTTAGCCAATATTTGTAATAAAATGACATTAAAAGATCCTCATGATGGTACTGAATATAATTTATATGAACATTTACGACCTGCAAGACAAGTTTTAGCAGAAGAAATTCAGAGAAAACATTATGATATTTATAATTATTGGCCTAAAGTAGGAGAATCACAAGAAAGTAATGTTGAATTGTGTATAAATGGTGCTTATAAAAGTGGTAATAATTTTTATGTTATTTGGAGTTGTATCAGTTGGATTAAAGTTAAAGATTATGTTTTGACTGATAGTATATATAATGCTAGTTTTGAAGGAAAACCAGATATTAAATTAGTTATTTTTAATTTTGAAAAATTACAACGATTAGAAAAATCAGCAAATAATGATTATGAAAAAGCATTAAAATCTTTCGGTACAACTGAATCATTAGAATAGGATGAATTTTAATTATTTTAGTATATTTTTATTATTATTATTTATTATTATTTTTTTAAAATTACTAAATAAAGAAGTTTATATTTTATTAAGTTTACTAAATTTTAAAGGTTAATTATTGATTAATTTTTAATTATAATATAAGTTAAGATTATAATGAATATAAATAATTTAATACATTAATAAATATAAAAAGAACAAAGTAAAAGTTGCATCAATATTAAAAAAAATAGAAAGAAATCGAACAAAACCAGATAGAAATGCTAAACATTCATCAGTAGCATGTAAAAGATGTAGAAAAAACAAAGTATGATGTGTGATTGATGATGATAATAAATGTAAAAACTGTACAAAAGTTGGGGCAATATGCATCATTCCTAAAAAATCAAAACGGGGTCCAACAAAAAAGGAAAAATTAAAAGAAACAACATAGGTATGAAAATGATATAAAAGATGT